TATGCATATACCAATTTTACCATGCAATACAAGATGAGAAAAAATAGTTGAGGATTGGCAATGTCTCAAAGGTTCTTAATTTATTTACATTACATTTTTCGTTGAAACAACAACAATTACTATAGTATTATATGTCTACTTATATATTAATCTTACAAAAAGGAAAGATTTGTTTCTTTATTTATAGTGATTAACTCGGAAACTACTGGACCAATTTAACAATAATTTTGTTAAAAGACAGCTATTAGATTTTTTTTATTTTAGTTCTTAATTGTTTATAACAGAACACTATTTTAGGCAATAGAAGAAGTGACTGTCAAAAAAAATCAAGTGGAGCTGTGTCGGGGCACACCGCCGTTGGTTTATCATGAAACGCCTATTTCAGCGTGCCTCTATTAGTGTGTTTGTTTTTATAAATATTTTGCATATTAATTAAAAACAAATTAGTAAAAATAGTAATTTTTGAAGACAGGAACGGAAAGAATCTCATATATTATTTTTAATACAATAACAACGGTTACTATGGCAACCTAATGCAACCTATTTCGTATGCAACCTATTTAATTATGGTCTACTTTTCTGGCCTGATACCCGTATGTTTCACTTTTAAAAAAGCACTTCACTACCACTTATCGCGTTTTTTTTTTATTTTAACTTAATCAGTTTCAGGTAAACATAAGTGCATCTAAAGTGAAATTTTACTTTGCAAGTGACATGTAACATATCATATAAGCTATAACTATCACTATGAAGCTAGAAAAACGAGCTACAAAACCAAGTATAATATTAATAATAACATAAAATTAAAAAAAGAAGACATAAAAGAAAGAATAAAGCAGAACGTAACAATAGTATGATTCATCTCAATCATCAAAATACACATTTAAAAATAAAAACGTCATCTATGAACCCGACCTCATTACTTATAAGTGCTCGCTACAAAATATTAGCCACGAAAATTATTTCTTAGACATCAAATAATTTACCAAAAAAATATAAATGGAAAAAAACGAATGAATACCCTTAGAAATTATTACTATATCTTGAATAAAACATAATAAGCTATGGCTTACTTCTTTTTACGGATAGTTAAACACGACAAGGAACGACAAAAATAAATTTATTGGCTTAGAATTATTACTTTTACCAGTTTTGTTTTTTATTATACATAATATTTTTTATATGTATTATCTAATATTTTTATATGAGAAACTCTACATCGCTATTTAGGGAGTAGAGTTTTAATAATTGTAATTTGAAAATTATTGTATAATGCTACGCATACATTAAAAAACTACAATTACCCAATAGAGTGCTATTGTGTTTCATGTTTTGTCAAAATTAATTAGTTATTGCTTTTAAAATTAAATTTACCTAAATCTAATTAAAAATCTAATTAAAATTAAAGTTAAAATGAAGACTACTAAATAACAATCAATCACACGAATAGAGATATTTTTATAATTAATGCAAACTACATTTACCAACATCATATTATGTAATGTAATTTGCGGCACACTGGGTACAGTTTATGTCAGTTATATTAAGTTTAATGTTGTTTTAATTATGTGTATAGAATTTACATACTATAACTGCTTCTCTTAAACGTCAGGCAGTAACTAAAATATTACTATGGCAAAACTTAGCTCATAAATTATAGATATTATGTGAATATTTTACCATTATAACATGTATTGTACAATATTAACCATACTGTTGGAATATTTTACTAAACAAATTATATTCTCTTTTTTAATTTAAAGAATACACCGACTTTACAATCACTTGAAAAGTAATTATTTTTCACTCTGAGAGCGGAGCTTTTTCTTGTTTATGTTGAGCTGTTCTCGAGACAAACCTATTTATTAAAAAAAATATTCTTTCAAGTTCAATCTCTATTGGTGAATATCGCGTAACATATTACCTTTATCATACAATTGTTATGAAAATATAGATTTTACATGAAAAAGGATATTTACTATAGGTATGTTTATCTTTTGTTATGACTTATTTAGGTATAGAAATGTAATGTTCTACCTTTAAGTCTCCATAACTTTTGACTCCTTTGTTTTCTTAAAATATTTTTCGTATATTTGAACTCCCTATCACCTCCCCTGTTCAAAAATACCACCCACTTCTCCAGGGGCCTCATTCCATATACTAAACTTGCGCCAGGCATTCAATTTAAAAAAAAATCTGTCTTATTCTAATCTAATTTAAATTTATTAACAATACATGACCATAATCATTATTGATTATTTGAGGAAAAGAAGTACATAATATTATGAATAAAAATTACCTATTTATATTTTATTTAAATAATGTTTCAATTATTTTATTGATAACACTAAAACTCATCAGTAACTACTAAACAAAAAAAAGAAATTCGATTGACAAACAGAGGAGAAAAAGGTACTGAATATGGTAAAGGTATATAATAATACTCGTACATATTATTTCAAATGTAAAGTACTCATAAAAAGTACTCGTACTTAGTTCAAATACGTACGTGAAAACAATAAACTCAGTTTAGAAAGGCACTTGTTTAAAACAACATAATTAAAGATGTTGTCTCTCTAAAGTTACGCACCACTTAATTTTTAATTTTCATCTTCCAACTTAAGTAGTATCTTGGAAAGTATTTTGACATTTTCTAAATTACACCACTCCTATGTCCGAAATGGTAACGTATACGAGATTAACGCCAGAAGCCCCGCCCGACATGTTTCCGCACAGTTTACGGTTATGACGCTGCACTAACAACTAGAGGGGTGTACAGCCATTTTATGTCTATTATTAACCCAATGGATACTTGCATACACTTTGAGCACCATGTGCGTTTTGCACTTTATAGATAGTAACAAAGTAAATTTGGTTTTAAGTTAGGCACTAAAATGGTTTGCCCGAGGTTCAGTAACGTTGAAATCATATTTAATGTTACGTTTTTATAAATAAATATCAAGTTTAGAACATAATAAACGACTAATATTAATAATTTAATGATAATTTTGTATCGTTTTTATTACTACATAATATATGGTAAGCATTACCCAATTTCCCTAGAGGTTAATTCAAATTTGATATTCGCCTTATACAAGAGTCACGTACTAACCTACGTATAAATAGTATGCATATATGAGCAATTTATATACACTATCTTTACACTCACTATCTACTTTAATGTTACAAAGAGGCAGAGTTTGTGTCTATGTTTGCTTGTTTGAACACGCTAATCTCAGGAACTACTTAATCCGATTTACGAACGATTATTAGAAAATTACTAATTCTTTTTGCATTAAATAGCCCGTTTATTGATGAAGGCTATATGCTATATATGCTCATGCTACTACCAAAGGGAGCAGAGCAGTAATCATAAATTTTAACAAAACGGCAGACTTCCATACATTATTCATACAGACGAACCCAAGCGAAGCAAGGTGAGTCGCTAGTAGGGTCTATACAATATGGAAATAGACGTGACCCACCATGTGAAAATTATTTTTTTTATTTTACAAAAGTGCTTAACGAGTAGGTGAAGTAAAAAGAATAATAACAATCCTTGTAAAACTGTACCGACTACAAAGTTACTTTAAAGTTTCTTTTTTCTAACGTTAATAGCAAATTTTGTATCAATTTTAAGATGTACCCATTTACTAAAAAGAGGAATAATTGTTTCATATACTTTATAGTACAATAAATACAACATTGTTGCAAAGTAGATGTAAAGAGTGTATGTACTCTCTAAGAAATATAACAAAGATACAAATGAATTCATTGGTATACAGTAATAATAATTTAAATAACTACGAATAAAATAAACAATTTCATTGTGATGCCAGTATGTAGACCGAAATTGTTTGTTGTAAAGGACAAACTTTTACGCTAGAATTTTATTGGAATAAAATTTTCTATTTTCCAAACTACACTATATTCATGTTCAGTACACATATTTACTATGGTGTAAAGCTCAGCTTTTGACCTCAAGCCAGCCAGCAATGATAAAATTATATATTAGAGTATACAACATATTTTCATGCTACACAGTTTATGAGTTGAAAGTAGTTTGGAGTGCCAAGAGCAGTCATAAAAGCAACAATAAATAATATGTACATATAATATACATATTTTTACTGGCCTAGGGTACTTAAATTACTAAAATAATGCTTGAAATTAGAATGATTTCCATTTATACCTATGCTTAAAAAAACTACGTTCAAAAAACCGACTTCAAAAACTAAAAAGTATAAAATAACTTAATAAAGATTTAATTTAATACACCTCTTATGCAAACTTAATACCTTTAATATAAATAAAATACTATTATTTGTATGTGCTACCTATTGATAGATTTGAAGTCGGTACCAAGCCACATGTAATAGTAATCACGTAAATCGGATCATAAATCTCAGCGTAATCGGTGTACATATAAACAAATACCAATCGAATTGAGAACCTCCTCTTTTTTTAAGTCGGTTACAAATAAAAATAAACAATTTCAATTATAAAAAAGATTCTATTACTTAAAGCTCTTTTTCTAGTATACGAATTAAATATACATACGTTTTATATTACATTTTTAAATATTATCTTAATTTTATTTTGTTATTTAAAGCACTTTAACTAATTTGTCAAAGAAAATGTAAAGCAGCAAATATTTGTTAGGATCTTCGACGGTCCATTAGCCTAATAGCTGAGCAGTGAAACGGTAAAAAGAGATTAAGCTGTGCACACTCATCACTTTCCTTCACTGTTGTAATTATTGATAAGTCAGCTTGAAATATAAATTAATTGACTTAATATTGGAAGTGTTAATTTGGACTTGAAAAGAGCTACGTAAATGATTCAATATTTTCATTAAAAGTTTAAAATAACATTAATATTCATCAGTCGCGATCTGTCGCTCGCTGTTGCAGTACGCGCTTGTTGTTCGATCTTAAACCGGTTTGACGCTGCCTCGCGAATCTTTCCGTTGCAATTTCACATTAAAATGTTATTATTCAATGGATAGCAATGAGCGCGTTAACGAAATAATAGTCGAGGAGACATCTGCGAGTTGTGAGTACGAGTATTATGAGAGAATGAGAAATAGTGAGCAGACGAGTAATAGTGAAAATGTTGAGATTATGTATGGGAATATGGAGAATGACATGTACAGTGATATATCAAGGCCGCCTAAGAGAGATAGGCCTGTAGACGAGGAGGAAATATGGACGAACGTCACTAGACGAGGTAAACGGATGGCTCGGGAGCACCGGGACATTGAGTCTACTAGGATTACGAAAGATAATATAGAAGTAAATATTACGAGTAAATCATCGGAGAAAATACCGAAACAGTTTAAATTAGCGAAAATATTAAAAGCAGAAAATATACAAGATATTACGAAAGTTAAATTTATTAGTGCATATAAGGTTATAATACGTTTTAGCAACGAAGACAGTGCAGACAAGTTAATGGAGTCAAAATATTTCCAAGAAAATGGATTTAAATGCCAAAAGACTTTAGATATCAAAGAAACGTTTGGAGTGATAAAAAATATTGATTTAGATTCAACGGAAGAAGAAATATTGGAAAGTTTAAGATGTGAAATGGATATAATAGCAGTTAAAAGATTAAAACGACGAAACAGTGTTAATGGCCAATGGGAACCGTCAGAGGTTGTGAGAATTTGTTTTAAGGGTTCTTCATTGCCTTCAAAGGTATATGTTTTTGATACAATATGCTCTGTAACTCCTTACTTGTATCCTGTGACACAATGTGCTCGATGCTGGAGATACGGTCATTCTGTCAGAGTATGTCCATCGAACAAAATTATATGCCCTAAATGTACCGGTCATCATGCTAATTGTGATACTATAGTATTTAAGTGTAATAATTGTCAAGGAAAACACATGGCATTAGCTCGAACTTGCCCTATGTATAAGAAAGAGAAGAGGATAAGAGAGTTGATGGCAGAATTTAACTGCTCATACAAACGAGCACAGACTATTTATGTACCTCCAGAATCTATATATTTGTGTAATAATACAGAATGCTCTAAGGAAGGAGACAAAGAGGAAGAAATTTCGAGTGGACATATAAATAAAGAAACAGACAGTTGTGCTATAGAAAGGGAGACGACATATGCAGAAATACTAAAGAAGCCAGAAAAAAAGAAACGCTCAAAGTCGAAGAAACCTATGAATAGTAAAAAGGCAAACGATAAAGATAAAGCAGTACAAGACGAGAGTTTTGATTTTTTCTCAGAGAGCGAATCTGACAATTCTCAAAAAATAGAGGAAGAAAACGCTAGACAAGACAAGAATAAAATTAGTTGGATGAAAATCTTAAGACAAATGCAAGAAAAAATCTGTGATAGTAGGCTAACCCTAGAAGAAAAAATTAAAACTTGTGTTAAAATATTTTTTGAGTCAATCACATATTTTGCAATGAACTATTTATCTCAACTGGCTCTCTTCTCTAAATTTAGACAATGGATAACAGACACGAGTACATAAAAATCAACATAATTCAGTGGAACTGTCGAAGTTTATTACCGAAAAAAAGAGAATTTGAACTTTTATTAAGTCAGCATAAGGTTCATATAGCTATTCTCAGTGAAACATGGTTAGTTCCTGAACATACTTTTAGAATTAATGGCTATAGTATTTTTAGAGCAGATCGCATTGATGGTTATGGAGGAACTGCTATATTAACTCATAAGTCCATAAAGGCAACTTTATGTAATCTGACTTCTACAAATACCGAAATACAAGCTGTACATGTAAGACTGCTAAATTGTGCTGAGATAGAAAACATAATTTCCATATACTGCCCATCATCAGTGCGCACATCAAAAAATGATTGGGATTATTTTTTTTCTTTATTCAATCACAAAACGATAATAGCAGGAGATTTTAATGGGCATCATCCTAATTGGTCATCCAAAGAAGATACGAGAGGAAATCAAATTTTTGATTCCATATTAGAAAATAATTTTATCACGATAAATGATGGAACAGATACACGAATTAAATTAGTCAATGGTGTAATTCAAAAAACTTCTCCTGATTTGACTAGTGTTAGTACAGATTTGGCTTTTAAATTCAAATGGGAAGTTATAAACGAAAATTTAGGCAGTGATCATATGTTAATTAAAGTAAGTACTGAAATTGAATGCCCAAGAAGGTATACTAAGAGAAGAAATTACAAAAAGGCAAACTGGCCGTCATATATGAATAAAATTGAATCAGATCTTGTGAACTTTACTCTTCCTTCAGATCCGCAAACAGCGTATAACAAATTTATAGGCCTTGTTAATATGGCAGCAGATAAATACATACCAATTGTTAAAGTTTGTGAAAATCCTCTTCATCAACAAAAATTTAAACCAAAGTCGTACTGGGAACCAAACTTATCACATACAGTCGCACAGAGACGGCTTGCTTTGGCTTTGTTTAGACGAAACCCAACACCGCAAAATCTCGATAAGTTGCAGAATAAAATAAGTATAGCTCAGAGAGATATACGGCGGAGTAGTTGCAAATCGTTTCAAGAATTTTGTAGTAAAGTCGACAATGTAACAAATGCAGTTGATATGTGGGCACAAATGAAGTGGGTTAAAGGTCATAGGATAGTTAGATGTAATATAGATTATGAAAAAGCTAAAGTATTGCTAATGAATTTGACACCAGATTATGTAAGTCCACCTACACCTAGTTTTAGCTCTGTCAATACACAATTATGCGGCCTAATTTCGGTACAAGAAGTTTTCAATTCTATTAAAAGTAAAGACACTGCACCGGGCTTAGATAATATATCGTATTCTATGATCAAACACCTTCCACATGTTGGTATAAAAGTATTGACTTCCTTGTATAATCAATTTTTAACCTCTGGGTTTGTTCCAGAACAATGGAGGAACATAAGAATTGTACCCATTCCTAAATCAGACTCGAACAATAATTCGAACACAAATTTTAGGCCAATTGCATTAATTTCCTGCCTCTGTAAAATTTTTCATACAATTATAACACGTAGACTTGAATGGTTTTTTGAAAAATACAATTGCTTCTCGCAAAACACATTTGGCTTTAGAAGATTTAGGTCTTGTTATGACGGTTTGGCCAGATTGGTTTCTAGGATTCAGATAGGTTTTTCTAAAAGTTTTACAACAACTGCTTGCTTTATAGATATTAATAATGCATACAATAATGTAGATCTTTCAGTATTGGTAACGACTTTAGATGACCTCGGTATTGGATCTGTGTTGTGTAATTACCTTTGGCAGTATTTACACAAGAGGCATTTGTCCATACAAACAAGTGATGATAAAACCTACAGCAGGTCTACAGGAATAGGCATAGCCCAAGGTGATCCATTATCCCCTCTTTTATTTAATGCGGTAACTATTAAAATTTGTAAAAATATCAAAGAAGTATTTATTTCTCAATACGCGGATGACTTTATTATATATTCTACTCAAAAAAGATTAATGGATTCTGTTACGCTTCTACAAAATGCTCTTAACTCTTTTCAGGCAATAATTAGTGAACTCGGTTTAACCATCTCAGATAAGAAAACAAAGGTATGTGTATTCGGCAGGGGTAAAACTAGGAGAAACGTCTATTTAAATATAAATGATAAGTTGATTGAACAAGTTAATTGTATAAAATACCTTGGCATGTGGTTAGATTGTTCACTTAAATGGACTAAGCATATTAGCGAAATCCGGGATAAAGCCAATAAATATTTTAACCTTTTTAAAATTCTAGCAGGATCTAGTTGGGGGGTTCATCCTAAACATCTCCGTAGGACTATATATAAGCATCATTCGTAGTAGGATTGATTATGGGAGTTTTTTATATCACTCAAGTGCCAAGAATCAGTTAATTAAGTTAGATCGAGTACAAAATCAAGCAATGAGAGTGGTCGGAGGGTTTATTAAAAGCACACCAATCCATGTAATGGAGAGTGAGCTGTGTATCCAACCTCTATCAATTCGAAGACGATTTCTTGCGGAGAAATTTTATTTAAGATCTAAAAACTATAAGTAACAATGTAACTATCACTATTTTAGAAGAACTGTCCGACCTATGCCAAGGAGGTTACTGGAGAAATAAAAACAATCCATTGTTAGTAAATGTACACAGAACGTATAGACAAGTAGACATGTATTCAAATGATATTCCCATGTGTTTAGTTTAAGTACGTGGCCTAATAATATTGATTTATCAAATGTACTATATAATGAAGTCCCTGGAATACTAACTGCTAAAAGACTAACTAATGTCATGGAACTTAGAGTGTTATGTTTGGAATTTATGAATAATAAATACTGTTCACACTATAAATTGTATACAGATGGGTCTAGAGATAAAACATGCATGGGGGCTGCTTTCTATGATCCTCAGGAAAATATTTCAAAAAAAATTTAAAATCAATGTTAATATTTCTATTATGAATTGTGAACTTATAGCTATTGCTGAGGCACTTTCATATTTAACTAATATAGAAGCAGGAAATTTTGTTATTTTTACAGACTCAAAAAGCAGCCTCCAACATTTGGCTCAGATACCCTCGAATTGTCGAGGCATCCCGTTAGCCATGATTATAATAGACAAAATTTGTAGACTATGTGAAACGAATAAAAATGTTGTTATTCAGTGGATACCTTCGCATATAGGGATTATGGGAAACGAGGAGGCTGACTGCGCCGCTCGTCAAGCAGCTTATGATGGTACACCTTATACCTGTTTACCTTTACCTTCAGACTTTCTGGTAAACGTGAAGTTATTATGCAGACAAACATGGCATGAATATTTTGACGAGCGGTCACTTACAAAAGGTATTTGGTATAGAACGTTGCAGAGTGAGCCTCTTCGTCACCCGTGGTTTGACAATATAAGAAGAAGATATGTGGTCGCTTTATTGAGGTTGAGATCGGGTCATATTCCTTCAAACAAATTTACATATCTAATGGGTTTATCGGAATCTCCAAATTGTGAAATATGTGGAACCATGGATGATATACAACATGTTTTGATGGAATGTGAACGGAACTCGGATGAACGTCGACATATTTTTACTAAAAATTATCAAGTAGGTCTGTGCAATAGTATCTTGGCTTGCCCCTTATCGGAGCAAGCAAGGATGCTTTGTACATTGCTATTTGCCATACAACGTCATGAATAGGTTTATAGTGTGAATTGTAATTAAGAATGTGTTCATAAAATATGTAATTTTTATTACGGGGGCGACATAATCACTGAGTGATAAAGCTCCTTTAAATAAAGAGAAAAAAAAAAAAAAACATTAATATTATAAATACGAAAGTGAGTGTTAATTATTTATACTCTAACTGGATTTGAATTAGTGTGAAGATTATCACACTGTTTGCTTTTCAGCGATGTCCCACGCGGAAATTATGGATGAATTTTGTTTTATTATGATATATTTTTAACAATTATATTATAATCTTTATGATTTGAATATAAATTGAAGATAATATTCAATTTTATTATTAAGCTACATTTTTTATAAAATATAATTGTATAAAATGTCAACTACAATTAAAATAAGTCAAAAGAAACTGTAGAAAGCTGTAGAAACACTTGGCCCATGGAGTCAAAATGCTAAGCACTTCTTAAAAGACATAACATCTCGTCTTATCGCCTCTACTGGTGATAGGAGAGCATTTTTTATTAAAAGTGGGCTTACTCATGACCTTCATCTTAGCTCGGAGGCATAGATAAGGTCTATGATCTAGCGAGTTTGTCCAGGAGAAGCCTATTAACACGCACCTTAAATAGTTTCAGGTTTTAAGCTCTCGGAAAAACAGACAGAGAGGGCATTTCATTTCTTGGCTGTGCGCATTATAAAAGATGACGAATAGCGCTTAGTGTGAATTATCGGAATATCAACCAAAAAAGGATGGTATCCTACAGTAAGTCTGGTGTTCCGATGGAAGAATGGCGCTGGCGGTATGAGACCATGGAGCTCATGGGCACACTGCCCGAAGTACAGTCTGTAGAAAAGCGACAGACAAGCAATCTGACGACGGTGTCCTAAGCTGTGAAGCTTAGTTTTCACTATATATTAATTATTATACAAATATATTAATATGAGCTGGTGCATTTTTCGCCCAAAGAATAGGCATTGCCATTGAACGGGGAATATTCCACGCGGACATGACTTGTACAGTAATAACTAAGTGTACATTTGTTTTGTATATATAATTAAGTATATTTGTATTTTTTTTCATTATAAATAAAGTATTATTTAGCCTAAAGCGATAAGAAATCATGACAAAACCATGAAGCGGAGATTTTATTGCTAACCAAAGCCAAAGAGTACAGTACGGTTCGAAATTCTTTACGGCGGAATACTGTTATTTTGCCAAGATATTGGTCGTTTGTATAATAAGTCGATAGTGATCGCCATTTAGACCTCCGTTGCTGAGTTGCTTAGAAATCTATCGTAATAACAGATAGCATAATATTATTACTTTCTATTGTATGTTTCTGTTGTATTGAGTTTGAAAACTTGCCTTATATTTAGTAACTTTGTTACAAATAGATCTTTTAACGTGTACTATTCAATAGCTTAGTACTTTAATTCGTATGTTCGATTTTGTATTCTTTTTGAACGTTGCATGTTTAGTAAAATTTTATTTAAAAAGAAAATACTGTGGCATTCTATCTATATTTAAATCACTACATATTATAAAACAAAGTCCTCAGACGCGTCTGTCAGCTCTCACTGACTCAAAAACTACTGCACCGATTTTCGTGCTGTTTTCACTAATGGATAGAGTGGTTCTCGAAAAAGGTTTTAGTATAAATTTTAATAAGTTTTTGTATACGTTGGCTAAAATATAACGATATTTGTTGGAGGTGTCGGAAAAAAATAAGCGGTCTGGGAGCTTTCAATGAAAACGCTGCCTAAATCCTTTGAGATATAACAAAATAAGGCATAGTGGAATTGTGTATCTTATATAGGTCTACAAAAAAGTCCACAATGGTATATGTCTATCTCTTAAAGATACCATACTATATCCCTTTTAATTTAAAATGAACCTAGGGCCAAACCCGGCGAAGCGAGGGTGAGTCGCTAGTATATCTATAAAAATGAAATATTTCTATACAAAAAATCAGGACAATTGAAGATCTGAGATCATGGGAACTACACTATCCATACGTATGTACGCAAACATACATACCACATATGTAGGTATTTGTTATTCACTCATACTTCGATAGGATATGAAGTCGATGAGTTCACTGAGAGATCGAGACTCTTTGACTATAATCATCATCCTCCTATCCAAGTCCTAAATTATCTGGGGGTCTAATAATATGTAGTTACTTTTTATATTAACAGTTATGTAATGACTAAATTAATTTTCTTTAATATGTTACTGGCGGAGGCATTTAATGTATAGCTCTTTTATCTCTACCAGTTCTAAATTTGACTCGTTTGTGTAGCATTCATTTGATGAAACATTCAGAGGGCGGCCGCACATTGTTCTCGCCCAAACAACAGTATAATGGGATTTGCTATATCCTTATCCAAACATGGCCTCGCATGTAAATTGGCTATATATTTGCCGAATAAACTGTTTATAAAACATATAAAGAACCTGGAATACGATTTTGTAATAATAAATCAAAAGTTAGAAATTGTTTTAAATGTATCCAAAGGTTGAAAGCACGTACAAAACAATCTTACTTTTTTATAAACGCGTAATATTATACATTCATATATAAAAATGTGCCGCTAAGATGAATTCTTACCACGATTTTAGACGTAAAATATAGAAAATCTTTAATTGAACATAACTACATAGTTATTGTTTTATCAAACCTACACACACTATGATCTATCTGCGTAAATAAATGTTGTGTGTCAAAAAATGTAAGCACAAAAGTACAAAATAAATTCTCTTTACGAAAGTACTTGAATATAATCTTCTTATTAATAAATAAATAATGCAAATATAATAGATTTTTTATTTGTGACATTACATTTTATTTTAATTAATAATATATTCAGTGGCTATAACACCTTTTTCAACAATACCGGAAATGAATAGAAACCTTTCAAGAACCGAAACCATAAACTCAGTCTTATAAACAGTACCAGACTTTACACTACAGTTATTTTAATAAATAAATATTATTTAAATAATTTAACATAAGAAAACTATTTATATAGAAAAAGATATCCATATGTTCAATTTTAACTCTAATATTATTTTTTTATTTATTGATGAAAAAAATATTTATGTCAAAGACTGAAATCAGACAAAGCAAAAATTTTAGCCAATTAAAAGGAATTATTCAGATTGGAAAACTAGCGTAACTCTTTCTAACAATTTTATCATCAGAAATGTTGTTTGAATTATTTCGCAGATAATTTACAACGTGCACAAGTTAGAACTGGAACTGGTAGACTGGTTCAGAGTCACTTTAGTGGTTATTTTGTATGGATGGCAGGTTTGAAATAGTATTGTTTATCGATAAAAATGTTTTAAATGGCGCTGTGCTAATATGTTAAAACAGAATAAAAAAGTAGTAAAAATAAAGCTTTTCAAGACTAAAGGAGCAAAAGGTACTAATTTTAAAAAGTATATCTAAATTCACCACTTATAATATCAACTTACACGCAAGATGAAAAACAAAGCAATTATTAAATCTATAAATATTTAGAATAACCTTCTATTAATCTCTCTGTGTTTTAAAAAATCCAATACAAAAATCGTTTTAAATATTAAAACAATAATTATATATTTCTGAAATATTTGTTGCTGTTATGTTATATTTTAATTTTATCAAGACCCTGTGAATCTGTTTTCTTTCTTTTTATAGTATTTTTATTGATCTTTCTAAGCCAATGATAAAAATGGTTTAAAAATCCTGAACAGAAACAGATAGTCATTGTCATGACAAGGCTAATATATTAACTAATTAACTCGTATCATTGTATGAAACGGCACGCAATCAGCATATAATTTTCGTTATTTTAACGAGTTTTATTTGTAGCTTTTTTTGATAAGCTTTTCCGTCCAAAGTTCACGATATACTTAATTTATTTAGCTTAGAAACTTCATTACATTAGCAAATAGAACTTTGTATATGAAAAGAATTAATTGATTAAATTTTTTTTGTAGGCAGTGGCAGCCCAGAAGTAACGCGCTCGCTTGGGAAACCGAGCGAAACTGGTTCAAATCCCGGGTCTCGCACCTTTGATATTTTCATGTGCGAGTCATTTTCAACATCATTACCACTTGTCTTACGGTGAAGGAAAACATCGTGACGAAACCTGCATGTCTCAGAGAACCTAGCAAGTTTTTGAAAGACATATGAAGTTCGCCAACCCGCACTTGACCAGCGTGGTGGACTATGGCCAGATCCCTCGTCGTATTGAAGGAAGGCCCTTGCCCAGCAGTTAGACGTTAAAAAGGGCTGAATAAAATTTATTTGTATTTCAATAAATAAAAATTAAAATTATTAAAAATTAAGTGCAATGACATAAAACGTACACAACTTTTAGAACTTAGTACATACTTCAATAAAATTGTGAGTGAAACATACAGGAGGTTAATGTTAAATGGAAACAATATATAAAAAAATGGACTAGCCAGAAACAGCTCAGCCAGAAAGGAAAATTTGGCAATAACTTTTTAATTTTAAAAGAATTCAATTTAATTTAAATTACAAATGAATGAACAAAACTATTTTACGCTTCAATACTTTACTTCTAACCCTATTTCTGAAATTTCATCCTTAACTTAAGTTGCTCTAAGTCCCGATGAAGGCTAAGTGCAGAAATTTGCAGGAGCGTCTATTCTAGTACAAGAACTTGCTAAATATACATAGTTTATCTTTTCAAGCTGAAAGTCAATTTAGACTTATTGTTCTCGGAATTGTCTTTGCTGAGTCAGGTTCGACGATAAGATTGAAATTTTGTTTGTCATCGCATGACTTATCGAGATGATAGAAGATTAATATTCTTTCTAGCCGAGAACTGGTACAAAACATGGTTTTGGTGGTAAATAATTTCAAAATGAAGTTAGACTATGAAATTATCTAGCATGTACTAAATCAATTTTAGTGAGTATTTTACATTAATTATAATGTGCTTGAGAAATGTATAGAATATGCTAAGATACTATGATTTTTTAAATAATTTAAAAAAAATCTTGCCACTATAGAGACTTTTCATATTAAAAATACAAATAATATATTTATAGTATGGTTCGAGCTCGCGGCGATTGTCGTATTTAAAGTTTAAATAAAAAGAGACACAGACTTCAAAATCTGTTTTGAAGTAATTGTTCCACCACTGCGGGTTGGCATTTTTTGTAACTATGTTGATTGATATTAAAGATTACCCTGAGAATTTGATATAAATATTTTTAAACGGCTTTTTAATATTCTTAAGATTTTTTAAGTTAATTATAAAATATAAACTATCATCAAGTCCTGAGCTACACGTTGAAAGTCTAGCTCATTAGGAAGTTAGTCTAAAATCCATGAATTTATACCCAAGGTATAAATGTAAGCTCTTAGAAAAAGGGAGTTAATAAAAACGTAAGAAAATTGTACTGCTTGTATCATAATCATTGGCCGACCCGAATATTGTTTGTTCTACCAGTTATTGGAATAATATACGAGTATGCCTCGTAACCGAGTCTCTAATATCCGAGAGCGTTTTAAAACCATGTAAGTATTTTTTTGCCTTAGTGACATCTATTCCTCTATCCATCTGCATCATAATTATTATAATGTATAAATAATAATATTAATACTCATCAAGCTAGATCTCTGGCTTTAATTAATTATTTAGACATTTTGTTAGCAAAATTATTATTTTAATTGTTCAAAGTAGGATTAATATACGAGTATACGATTGAATTTAAAATATTAATACATCGCGTAATAAAATTGCTATTTTTGATATATTGATAAAACTGTAAAAGTTATATTAAATACTAGCGACTTACCCTCGTTTCGCTCACGTTTGTTCTTAGGTTATTTATTAAATTGACATAACTTTTTTATTGATAACGAACACATACTAAATGTCGAGTGAAACTTACCACAATACATAAGTGAAATCGGTTAAGCCGTTTCTAAGATCAGCGCGCACAAACACAAAGACAAACAGACAAACACAAAAAAAATAAAAATCATTGTTTTGGGTTCTATTGCGTTAATAAAGATCCCCAATAATCATTTTTCTCAAATATGTTCCATGCACAGACAGCAATCAGTTACACTTTTATTATATGTATAGATTACCACGTTTGTATGTTTAGTAAATAAATACAATACAATCAGGTGCCAGACACTAAGATATTTCATACATCAAAGGCATTCATTAGTCTGCCTTAAACCCCATCATTTGCCATACAATCCCCTTGTAACATTGATAACGAGCTTTCTAATCAGCTTCTGTGATCTTTCTCTAATTAATGAGTAAACGGATTGAGTATTCAACCATTCACAGGAAACATATATAATGTGCTTCGTGCCAGTGACGTGGGTAACGCCTATGTTTTAGAATTGAGATATGTAAGTACGTGTTTATGTGTATAGCTAATGCTAATTATAAACCTACATAATATATGTGTACTATGTAGTCTTATTATATATATTAATAAATATTTTTATTCTACCAAAATATTAATGCCCTATAAAATTATTGCGAGTAAACAGAGTCACAAACCGAGAAATCTTATTTTCTTTGCAACTTTCTTTAAAGATTTATTTGACGAAGTGCTCGTGTGATTTCATGTCATTTCTGTATTTTACAAACTAACGATGCAAATTGATTTGTGAACAATGGAGAGTTTCCTTGAAGGCTCAAATAACTAGTAAACTGAAATTTCAACAAGCCGGTCACCCTTTCCATAAAATCGATGACCGGTAGTCAATTTATAGAGGAAATAAGTACCATGACTTGAAAATCGAGCAATAGTATTGGATGCCTACTATATAGGCTAGGCAACTGTCAAAGTGGCTGGCAGTAGTTAGACAGAAGTTTGATTTGTAGCGCTGAAGATTGGGCTTAGACGCGTACAATGTGAAAAGCCATGCCCAGTAAATAACAAAAACAAGTCTATTAAAATGATATTAAAATATTTTATAATATTAATTGATGTATTTTAATTTATTTAATATAATTTAATTAAAGTGCTTCGCTCAGCACGCATTGTTGAACAAGCACAACTCATTAACCACCCAGGAAAATATATTTCACACGCTTTATGAATACGCCATTAAAATTTTAAAATCTCACTCGCCTGAAATAACCGCTACATTATTGATATTAAATAGTTGGAAAAGGATTAATTCTTATATGAAATCCATCTCCAAAGAGGTATTATATTTTTATACCATACATTTTGATATAAAAGTTTTTTAAATGTAATTTTATATTTTCTTTTTATTTTATCATGCCATCGGCTCATATTAAATAAAAATATTGAGAACTACGCTACCAATGGAAAAAAGCTAACAACCAATTTTGTAAAAAGAACGCTATCATCAAAAGTATGGTTTACAGCATTTTCTCTCTGAACCGAATTTTTAAAAAATGCAGCAAATATTAAAAAATCATATTTCCTTTATTTATTGGTATGACTTCCTTTTTTCATGGTATGTGAAGTTTATTAAAGCAGGTATTGTTTTGAAGTCCACTTTTATTTCCTAAAATAAATTGACTTTAATATGTCACAATATCTTTTTTGTAACAACATAATCAGTGTATTATAATTTTTATATAATAACATAATCAGTACCTATATTTTTGGAATATTTATAAAAAGGTTGAAAAAATATTTTTGGTAAGTCTATTGCTGGTAAAACCCTGGGTCCTGAGGTCTGAGTTAATAATTTTAAAATGAAAAAATGATAAGTAATACAAACGGTTATTATAGCAAATTCCATATACCAAAATCGCGAATGAAATAATAATACATATGTATTGCAGACTTTTTGCGATATGCTTTTTACTTTATCTCATATAATGTAGCTAAAAAACAAGTAGCCTATTACTGGCCTTATAACATTCCTATGCAATAAAAACTAAAAAAAATGTTAATCGACTTCATGACTTTAAAAATTGCTTTACAGGGATTTTCATTTGCAAGAGGGATCTAACCAAAGGCTTTTAAAGCCATGTATAGCATACATTGGAAACATTTTTATAGATAGATATTATTTTAAATAAATACACCAAAAATTGTACATAATATTTCTAACTATAGTTAATTAAATATTTTGTGTTCAAATCTAGATGGATTGTTTATTTTATTTGCCCTTTTTTCGATTTATAATTTATACGAAAAGGATAAGTTTTACTATAATTATATATCACTTATGAAAAACTTTCAGAATTAACTTAATAGAAATACTTTAGGACCACAATACCTAGTAATAGTTTACTCTATATACCAGGTCTTAAAAGTTCGTCCACATAAGTATTAAACGAGCGCTG